AGATCTCAGTGACTTTGAAAGAGGGGTCTCAAAGGAGCATAGGGGGTTTAAAGGGTGTGCGTGTGTGTGTGTGTGTGTGTGTCTCAGTCACCAGATCTCAACCAAATTGAACACTTATGGGAGACTCTGTTGCCTGGCTACCCAGACTCCTTGCTTCGGCCAAACGCTACACCACGCCCACAGACATTCGTTTCTTCTCCAAAATGAGTCTGGATCTGAGTACCTCCAGACTCTTCACCAAACAAATTCGGGGCCGTCTGATTGGTCCCAGAAACCAATGGTTTGGGCCAGAGCCAGAACACGTGGGTAATGCGGTGGTTTGAAAATTCGTCATTGGCTTTGATACTCTGATTGGTTAGAGACGATCTAATCGCTGATGACTTTGTTTTGTACAACGCCCCTCGTGCCCCTCGTCACCACAAATGACTTCAATGATGACAGTCTCAGACTAAAGTATGTGGTGAACGACAGAGCAGAGGAAGAATTTAGTGTGAGTCGTCAGGCTAAGATGCTGTAGCGGCGTCTGAGCCACCGTTTTCCACCACCATCAACAAAATACGAAATTATGGAATTTAGCGTGGGAGAATGGTGTCGCATACTCCGAGTCACTCAGCTACTAGCACCATCATGAAAAGGGGCACAAGTGAAGCCCTCCAATATTACGTTTTTCTAAGTAGTGAGAATGCTCTGGAGCAGGCAATGTTGAAAATTAATCTATAGACATGTACTTTTCTTAAATGTAGTTTTGTAATTGACTTAAACAAGCAGACAATAAGAAAATTGTGTTTGAAAAAGGTCATCTTTTTGCTGTGAGCCAATGGGGTAACCAAGGTGACCATGGGTTATTTTCCCCCAAGGCGGGTGGGCAGGGCCGCAACGTTCTATTTAATACCGACTGGAACTATCCCTCCAATAGAGTTCCAGACACTACAGAATCTATCCAGTTGAAGCTGTACTGGTGGCTCGTGGTAGCCCAACACCTTATTAACACACTTTATGTTGGTGCTCCTGGTCTCCAGTGCGCCTCCATGGTCTAGTATATCCTGGGCCAGTCCTACGCACTGTGTCGCCAGTGCGCGTTCACAGCCCAGTGCTTCCTGTGCCGCGCCCCGCACGTGCCGTGAGAAGTGGGCATCCAGCCAGGACGGGTTGTGCCAACTCTAAGCTCCAGACCTCCAGTGCGCCTCCACAGACCGGTACGGCCTGTGCCAGCTCCTCGCACCAAACCAGTGCGGCCCTTGCCTGCTCCCCGCACCAAACCAGTGGTGCGTGCATCCAGTCTGGTATGGCCCGTACCTGCTCCTCGCACCAAACCAGTGGTGCGTGTCGCCAGCCCGGTACGCCCTGTACCTGCTCCCCGCACCAGGCCAGTGGTGCGTGTCGCCAGCCCGGTACGCCCTGTACCTGCTCCTCGCACCAAACCAGTGGTTTGTGTTCCCAGTCCGGGCCGGCCCGTTCCTGCTCCCCGCACCAGGCCAGTGGTGTGTGTTCCCAGTCCGGCCCGGCCCGTCCCTGCTCCTCGCACCAGACCTGTGGTGCGTGTATCCAGTCCAGTATGCCCCGTACCTGCTCCCCGCACCAAACCAGTGGTGCGTGTGTCCAGTCCAGTGCGGCCCGTGCCTGCTCCTCGCACCAGACCAGTGGTGTGTGTCCCCAGCCCGGTACGGCTGGTGCCAGAGCAGTCCGCTCCACCGCTCCACCGGTGCCCAGTCCAGCTCCAGTCAGCTGCTCCACTCCAGTGCCAGAGCAGTCCGCTCCACCGGTGCCCAGTCCAGCTCCGGTCAGCTGCTCCACTCCAGTGCCAGAGTAGTCCGCTCCACCGGGGTCCAGTTCAGCTCCGGTCAGCGGCTCCACTCCTGTGCTCCAGGCCCGTGCCTGCTCCTCGCACCAGACCTGTGGTGCGTGTATCCAGTCCAGTACGCCCCGTACCTGCTCCCCGCACCAATCCAGTGGTGCGTGTGTCCAGTCCAGTGCGGCCCGTCCCTGCTCCTCACACCAAACCAGTGGTGCGTGTCTCCAGTCCGGCACGACCCGTGCCTGCTCCTCGCACCAGACCAGTGGTGCGTGTATCCAGTCCGGCACAGCCCGTGCCTATTCCTCGCACCAAACCAGTGGTGCGTGGGCCCAGTCCAGCTCCGGTCAGCGGCACCACTCCGGAGCCAGAGCAGTCCGCTCCACCGGTGCCTAGTCCAGCTCCGGTCAGCGGCTCCACTCCGGAGTCAGAGCAGTCCGCTCCACCGGTGCCTAGTCCAGCTCCGGTCAGCGGTTCCACTCCGGAGCCAGAGCAGTCCGCTCCACCGGTGCCAGAGGTCGTCACGAGAGGGAGAGGTCGTCACGCCCGGATCCGCCTCAGAGGACGAAAGCCCACCCGGACCCTCCCCTAATGAGTCAGGTTGGTGCGGCCGGAGTACGCACCTTTGGGGGTGGGGGGGTACTGTCACGCCCTGATCGAGAGAACTCTCGTTGGTTGGGTCAGGGTGTGAGTTTTCTATTGTAGTTCTATGTGATGTATATCTATGTTTAGGATCTATATGTGTATTTCTAGGTTTGGCCTGGTGTTATTCCCAATCAGAGGCAGCTGTCACTCGTTGTCTCTGATTGGGGATCATACTTAGGTAGCCCATTGCCTGCTGTGTATTGTGGGATATTGTTCCTGTTAGGCTGGTATGTGTATAGCCATTTGGACTTCACGTTACATTGTTTCTTGTTTTGGTTTGTATGTTTATTGGGTGAATAAACATGTACGCTTTTCACGCTGCACCTTGGTCCGACTCGTCTCTCAACGTTCGTGACAAATGTGTGCAGCGCAATGGACATACAGTAGCAGATAAATATGGTATATAGCTATAGAGTGTACACTGCATAATGAAACAATCCCTAGTAAGCTAGTGTTTTGAGGGTGGACTGACTATATTATCTGGCATTAATAGACTGGTTTTACCCACCACTTTCTATCCAAGCTTGCGGAGAGCGTGAGGACGGCTTATGTCATGCACGTTCAGGTAGCCTATACAGCACAGTTGTATATAAATAAAAAAATCAACTCCGACCTTGAGAGGGTCCAGAGAAACTGTGTCACGCCAGTGGGCGGTGTCGGAGGTGTAACTGCGTAAGAGCTGTCATATCCACAAGTGGCTCTAGGCATTATACCTAAAGTGGACATTGCCATTGGCTGCACGGTGTCGCATTAAGATAAATCCCATGCAGCCTTGTAGCTCAGTTGGTAGAGCATGGCGCTTGCAACGCCAGGGTTGTGGGTTTGTTTCCCACGGGGGGCCAGTATGAAAAAAAAAAATGCACTCACAACCCTGGTAAGTCGCTCTGGATAAGAGCATCTGATAAATGACCAAAAAACAAAAAAAAAAAAACAATGTTCGCACACTGGAATGTGAGATATAATCAACACCTCGATTAGGCTGATAGAAATCCTCATTATTTTGTTGAATGATTTTATATTTGAACGTCATTATTTCTATACACTTTCTCGCTCGGAACTTCTAATGCGAGTGGGACGGGTGTGGCTTCCTGACAATGATCAGAGCAGCTGCTCACCGATTTGACAGCTCCACCGCAGTTACACATCTAGGCCACAATTGCAATGAGCATGCTATGTTCCGGGATCTTTAAACATACAGTACATTTCAACGTTCCAGTGTTTCTGCATTGCTTTATTATTGTGTTGCTGTTGCTTTTAAAACCACCCCTTGGGTATTCCCAGGCTGAAAGTCTTCTGCCTCCTTTCATGAAATTGTGTTTTACATGATTTTATAAGCTAGCATGCATGCGCTGTCCAATTCTCAGCTTGCTCTATCACTAGAAAGGGGGGACTAGAAATCAAAAATGCAAAGGAGGCCATGTTGTTAAGCTGGTGAATCACACAGAATGGAGGTCCATTTCCCAGCCTATCGGAGGACAGGGGAGGATGCCAGGGGAGGAGGAGCCAAAGACCCCAAGAGACATGAAAAGGGGGGTTGGATGTGGGGGGACGATATGTACTCTGTTATCACTTTCCTGATCTGCTGTAATTACCCTGTGATTGGTTCAAGTAACGGTAGTCTCACTCCAGGGAAATTCCCCTCTTAAATGCTGATTTGCTCCGGTCGTCACTGTGTCATCCCCCAATCACGGCACATGCTCTACCTCTCCAATCAGAGAAGTGAAAACCTCCTGGAATGTGCATGGACGAAATGTGTTCCTTGGAGGACTTTACAGAAGGGTTTTGAAAAACGATACAGCACCCCACCACCTCCCTCTTGTTTGCCGGCAGTTTAGCACCAATCACTATCCTCTATGATTATCCCCCCAACCGAGCGTTCGACTCGCATCCCAGCAGCAGGGGGCGTTTGAGCTGCTTTGATGCTACCACATCATACTCTCTCGGTGTCATATCATTTCCCAGTGGAGTCTGACCTCATTACTCTGTTGCGGTAGGGAGTAGGAGAAGGGTGGAGATGGAGAAAGATAAGAGAGAGGGGGGGGGGAAGGAGGGTGGAGTAGGGATGGAGAAAGAGAGATGGTGGGGAGGGGGGGGGGGGGTTCCTCTCTGAACCTAAACCACAGGCTTCCCTCCCTGATCTCCCCATCATCCTGGAGCATGTCACAGATTCCAGACTTCTCAGCCTTCTGTCACCCTCTAGTTGGAGATAGGCCTAGTCTACTAGAAGAGCAGACATGGCTGATCATTCTACTCCCTCCCTTTACGGCTGCTTCTGTGACTGGGCTGACATGGAATGCGAGGGATTTCCACACCCAGAGAGAGAGAGAGAGAGAGAGAGAGAGAGAGAGAGAGAGAGAGAGAGAGAGAGAGAGAGAGAGAGAGAGAGAGAGAGAGAGAGAGAGAGAGAGAGAGAGAGAGAGAGAGAGAGAGAGAGAGAGAGTGACAGAGAGACAGGAGAGAGACAGCGACAGAGAGAGGAGAGAGAGAGAGAGAGAGAGGAGAGAGAGAGAGAGAGAGAGAGAGAGAGAGAGACAGCACCCCGACCTCTCCCCTCACCCCAGGCACTCCAACAGCAGGAGCCCAGGCCCAGACCCACACAACAGGTCTGTCCTCCCCCCTGCCTGCCTACGACCACCAGAGCCAAGACCACACTACCATCAGCCTGCTGAGAGACAGGCTGGCTCTGTTAGAGGTATGGGTTACTGAGCTAAAGGAGCAGCCCCCAAGTTACACCACCTCCAGCCCAGACACAGAGCTTCTACAGGACCAGATCAACCAGTGCAGGACCCCAGCTGAAGGACTCTGTCCAGGAGCTAAGAGAGAGCCTCACCACAGCGCTTGATGAGGTAAAGGCCACCATGAGGAGAGAGCTAGTGCAGGTACAGTTGAAGTCTGAAGTTTACATACACCTTAGCCAAATACATTTAATCTCAGTTTTTCACAATTCCTGACATTTAATCCTAGTAAAAATTCCCTCTCTTAGGTCATTTAGGATCACCACTTTATTTTAAGAATGTGAAATGTCAGAATAATAGTAGAGAGAATTATTTCTTTCAGCTTTTATTTCTTTCATCACATTCCCAGTGGGTTAGAAGTTTACATACACTCAATTAGTATTTGGTAGCATTGCCTTTAAATTGTTTAACTTGGGTCAAAAGTTTCGGGTAGCCTTCCACAAGCTTCCCACAATAAGTTGGGTGAATTTTGGCCCATTCCTCCTGACAGAGCTGGTGTAACTGAGTTAGGTTTGTAGGCCTCCTTGCTCGCACACGCTTTTTCAGTTCTGCCCACACATTTTCTATAGGATTGAGGTCAGTGCTTTGTGATGGTCACTCCAATACCTTGACTTTGTTGTCCTTAAGACATTTTGCCACAACTTTGGAAGTATGCTTGGGGTCATTGTCCATTTGGAAGACCCATTTGCGACCAAGCTTTAACTTCCTGACTGATGTCTTGAGATGTTGCTTCAATATATCCACATAATTTTCCTTCCTCATGATGCCATCTATTTTGTGAAGTGCACCAGTCCCTCCTGCAGCAAAGCACCCCCACAGCTTCACGTTTGGGATGGTGTTCTTCGGCTTGCATGCAACCCCCTTTTTCCTCCAAACATAACGATGGTCATTATGGCCAAACAGTTCTATTTTTGTTTCATCAGACCAGAGGACATTTCTCCAAAAAGTATGATCTTTGTCCACATGTGCAGTTGCAAACCATAGTCTGGCTTTTTTATGGCGGTTTTGGAGCAGTGGCTTCTTCGTTGCTGAGCGGCCTTTCGGGTTATGTCGATATAGGACTCGTTTTACTGTGGATATAGATACTTCTGTACCTGTTTCCTCCAGCATCTTCACAAGGTTCTTTGCTGTTGTTCTGGGATTGATTTGCACTTTTCACACCAAAGTACGTTCATCTCTAGGAGACAGAACGCGTCTCCATCCTGAGCGGTATGACGGCTGCGTGGTCCCATGGTGTTTATACTTGCGTACTATTATTTGTACAGATGAACGTGGTACCTTCAGGCGTTTGGAAATTGCTCCCAAGGATGAACCAGACTTGTGGAGGTCTACAAGTTCTTCTGAGATCTTGGCTGACTTCTTTAGATTGTCCCATGATGTCAAGCAAAGAGGCACTGAGTTTGAAGGTAGGCCTTGAAATACATCCACAGGTACACCTCCAATTGACTCAAATGATGACAATTAGCCTATCAGAAGCTTCTAAAGCCATGACATCATTTTCTGGAATTGCAAAGTAGATGTCCTAAACGACTTGCCAAAGCTATAGTTTGTTAACAAGAAATTAGCGGAGTGGTTGAAAAACGAATTTTAATGACTCCAACCTAAGTGTATGTAAACTTCCGACTTCAACTGTAAAGGAGAAGATGGCAAAGGAGTTGTCTGTCATCAAAGAGGGTGCTGCAGCATAGAGAACAGACTGTAGAGACCCCTAGAGAGAAGCTGCAGCCCCTCACCACCCCTAACACCCCCACTGACCCACCCTCACCCACAACCACTGCCCATACCGACCACTCTTTACCCACACCCCCAGTCAACAAGGAGGCTCACATAGGGACACCTACTACAGAGAGAAGCTCTCTGGCCCCCCATGACACACCCCCACACACCCCTCCTTGTACACAGGCCCTGTGTACCCCAGCCCCAGCCCCAGCCCCAGCCCCACACCGTAAATCCACTACTCTGGTAAAACCCACTGAGGTGGCCATCCTCATTGACTCAAATGGAAAATTGATCCAAGAGGATAAACTCTTCCCCCACTACAAGGTGTCCAAAATATGGTGCCCAAAAACACAGGATGCACTCCACATCCTGTCCCAGCCTGACTTTGGCACACCAGACCACATTATTATTCACACCGGCACCAACAACCTGCGTGAGGTTCAGGAGAGAGTAGGCAGCCTGGTCAACAGAGTAGCAGAGAGGGCCTCTGAGTGGTTCCCCAACTCCCACATTACCATCTCCACTATGCTGTCCCGCAAAGACTTTCATCCCCGTACCATACAAGTCAACACTGACATCAACAGAGGGTGTGGCCTACTCCCGAAAGTGCACGTTGTTCACCACCCAACAATCACCCCAGAGCATCTGCATGACCACTCCCACCTGAGGAAGCAGACAGTAGGGATGTTTGCAAAGTCTCTAAAGGACGTGGCACATGGTAGACAAACAACCCATGCCGCACTGGAAAGAGGACCACCCAGAGACCCCTACCAGAACACGGCACCACCAAGGAGCCCCAGGCCCCCTCAACACCCCACCAGACCCAGCGCACCCCACAGGCCCCACCCACCACCAGAGCATCACCACTTACACCGGCTTAGCCAGGCCCAGACCCCCCTCCACTCCACAGGGCCCAACAGCAGGACCAGCGCAGCTACGCAGAGGTCCTCAGAGGACAGGAGAACCCTGTGGGGTTGAGTGAGAATAAACAGCTCCTCCAATACATCTGCACTAAACGCGCACACATACGCACACAGGCACACACACACACACACACACACACACACACACACACACACACACACACACACACACACACACACACCTATTGTATTATACGTTTACTTGTTCAATGAATAGGAATATATATATATATATATATATATATATATATAACATAAGAAATGTTTGCTGTTATCCTGTTTATCTCACTGTTAACAACTTAGTAGTTAGTAGTTACTGTATTTTTGACTGTGCTGTTCTTTCTTTTTGCAACATGAAATCGCTATCAGTTACCATGTGGAACATTCAGTGCCTAAACTCATCAACCTTTGGAATGAAGAGTTTAGCACTGGAGTTTAAAAAAATCTTAAAGATGTTGACATCATCATTCTGCAGGAGACATGGTGTAAGGCAGACATTGTCACTCACTGTCCCACAGGCTACAGAGAGGTAATTGTGCCATCACAGAAACACAGCTCTGTCAATAGAGGTAGACACTGGAGGATTAATCATTTGGTACAAATCCGAACTACAAAATCTAATTGATCCCCTCAAAATTGGTAAATGTCACATTTGGTTAAAACTGATAAAATAACTTGTACTGACAGAAAAATATCTGTTCCTTTGCGCAATATATATCCCCCCCTCAGAATCCCCATATTACTCAAGAGGAGATATTCCCCAGCCTTGAGGAAGAGATGTGCCATTTCCAGGCCCAGGGAAATGTGCTCATCTGTTGGGACACAAATGCGCGCACAGGAACACTACCTGATCTAACGACCACACGAGGGGACAGCTTTATTAGAGGCCATACTGTTTCTAACTGTCTTAATCTCCCCCATAGAAACAACAGTGACAGCACGATCAACAAAAACGGAAGGGATCTGTTGCAGCTCTGTCGAAGCCTGGGTTTGTACTTTGGTTACGGGGGACTCTTTGGGGAGATTCACCTATTGCTCACCTCTTGACCACAGCACAGTAGACTATATAATTATAGGCATTGACACTTTCTCTCTCAGCTCCTTCACCGTCACGCCACTAACACCTCTGTCTGATCACAGCCAAATTACGTTATTCCTCAAAAGAACAGACATGGAAACAACCACACATTCACAGCCCAGTAAGCTGTACAACATCAGAAATTCATACAGATGGGCTCAAAACAGCACAGAAGAATACCAGAAAGCAACTAGTAACCAAAATATCCAAACACTCTTAGATAACTTTCTGGATACCACATTCACTCACAGTAAAGATGGCATCAATCTAGCAGTAAAAAAAATCAACTATATATTCAGGCAAACGGCAAAAGAAGCACAACTAAAATTTATAAAAAACTAAACAAAAAAGACCACAGATGACAACTGGTTTGATGCAGATTGTAAAATTAAAAGGAAAGAATTTAGAACACTATCAAACCAAAAGCACAGAGACCCAAATAATGGTTAGTTACGCCTTCATTATTGTGAGACTTTAAAACTCTATAAACGTACACTCAGAACCAAAAAAGCACAGTACAACAACAAGCAGCTGACACTAATTGAGGAGTCCATAAACACAAACAACTTCTGGCAAAATCTGAAAAAACTAAAAAAATCTAAACAACAGGAATTAGCGATACAAAATGGTGACATATGGACAACCCATTTTAAAACACTCTACAACACCGTTCAAATTGACACAAATGCAGAACAATGCAAAATTCATGAGAAGTTGAATGGATTAGAAAAAGCTATAAAGGACAATCAAAATCCATTGGACTCCCCAATTACTGACCATGAGCTCTATAAGAAACTTCAGGCCCTCAAATAAAAAAAAGCATGCCGACCTGATGGCATCCTAAATGAGATGCTCAAATTCACTACTGCAAAATGTCAATTGGCTATGTTAAAACTGTTTAATTTTATCCTGAGTGTAGGTTATTTCCCTGACATCTTGAGACAAGGACTCATAACCCCAATCTTTAAGAATGGAGACACAATTGACCCTAACAATTACAGAGGCATTTGTGTGAACAGTAACCTGGGGAAGGTCTTCTGTAGTATTATAAATGTAAGCGTTCTAAACTTCCTTAAAAAGCACAATGTCTTGAGTAAAAGCCAAATTGGCTTCATACCAAAACATCGCACGACCGATCATATTTACACCCTGCACACCCTGATAGATAAACATGTCCACCAAAATAATACCAAAATGTACGCTTGCTTTATCGACTTCCAAAAAGCTTTTGATTATATTTGGCATACAGGACTGTTCTACAAAGTTACTGAAAGTGGTGTAGGGGGTAAAACATAATTAAATCAATACGTGCAGCATCAAAATTGGCAAGAAAATAACAGAATTCTTTAACCAGGGGCGGGGCCTTCGCAATCTGAGCCCTGCACTCTTCAATATTTACATCAACGAATTGGCCACTATTCTAGAAAAATCCCCAGCCCCTGGTGTTAGTCTCCACAATTCAGAGGTTAAATGCCTGGTCTTCGCAGATGACATATGCCTGCTGTCACCCACAGCACATGGCCTACAGCAGAGCCTGGACCTGCTAGAACAGTACTGCCAGACCTGGGCCCTGGCAGTAAACCCCAAAAAGACTAAAATAATGAATTTCCAGAGAAGATCCAGATCTCAGGGAATTAGTGTCACGCCCTGACTCAGAGGATGCTTGTATGTTGAGTCAGGGTGTGTATTTTCCTTGCTGTGTTTGTCCATGTTGTACAGTCTAGTATGAATAGATCTATGTTGGCCTGTGTGGTTCCCAATCAGAGGCAGCTGTCGCTCGTTGTCTCCGATTGGGGACCATACTTAGGCAGCCTATTGGCACTAGTGGGTTGTGGGATCTTGTTCCGTGTTAAGGTATGTTGTGTTGTGCTGCCTTGGACTTCACGTTTCGTTTTGTTTGTTATTTTGTCGTTGTGTTTGAGATTTAATAAACAGGTACGCATATCACGCTGCGCCTTGGTCCGTCTCGTTCATCAACGATCGTGACAGAAGATCCCACCAAATGAGGACCAAGCAGCGTGTTCAGGAGCAAACGCCGGGAATTCAACAGGAGGTTACATTAGTAGACGTCCTCCTCGGTTGGGGGAGAATTACGGAGGAGGAGGCCGTCCGTTACCGGAAGGGGATGAAGAAGGATGCCCAGGTAGGAGAGGAGAAACGGCGCCAACAGTGCCGACGACGGAGACCCGAGAGGCAACCCCAAGAACATTTTAGGGGGGGGGGGGGGGGGGGGGGGGGGCACGCGGTGTGGACGACGAGGCAGCAGGAGGCCGTTAAAGGGCGGATCTGCAGGTTAGGAGAGGAGGCCACCATGTTACGGGGGCTATTGGTTCAGAGGGAGCAGGAGTTATTCGGTCAGAGGGAGGTGCTACAGGAGGCTAAAAGGGAGAAGGAAAGTGTAGAGGCACGGCGAGAGGAGCTGGTTAGGCAGCAGAAGGAGCGGGGGTTAATAAAGGAACCCAGTCCCGCTCCTCGCACCAAGCAAGTGGTGCGTGTCGCCAGTCCGGTCCGGCCCGTTCCTGCTTCCCGCACTAAGCCAGTGGTGCGTGTTCCCAGTACGGCCCGACCCGTTCCTGCCCCTCGCACCAAGCCAGTGGTGCGTGTCGCCAGCCCGGTCCGGCCTGTTCCTGTCCCTCGCACCAAGCCAGTGGTGCGCGTCGCCAGCCCGGCCTGTTCCTGCCCCTCGCACGAAGCCAGTGGTGCGCGTCACCAGCCCGGCCCGGCCTGTTCCTGCCCCTCGCACCAAGACAGTGGTGCGCGTCGCCAGCCCGGTCCAGCCCGGTCCAGATCCTGTCAGAGGCTCCACTCCGGAGCCAGAGCAGTCCGCTCCACCGGTGCCCGGTCCAGCTCCGGTCAGCGGCTCCAGTCCAGACCCAGACGTCAGCCCCTCTCCAGGTTCGGGGTCTCCCACACCAGGGTCCAGACAGGACTTGGTACTTCGTGGGAGGAAGGAGAGGGGAAGCAGCGCCCCGAGGTCCAGACCAGACCAGTGGTGCAACAGGGAGGCGGAGAGTAAGTGGTCGTCACGCCCTGAGCCGGATCCGCCTCCGAGGCGGAATGCCCACCCGGCCCCTACCCTGTTATGTTTATGTTGTGCGGTCGGAGTCCGCACCTTTGGGGGGGGGTACTGTCACGCCCTGACTCAGAGGACGCTTGTATGTTTAGTCAGGGTGTGTATTTTCCTTGCTGTGTTTGTCCATGTTGTACAGTCTAGTATGAATAGATCTATGTTGGCCTGTGTGGTTCCCAATCAGAGGCAGCTGTCGCTCGTTGTCTCTGATTGGGGACCATACTTAGGCAGCCTATTGGCACTAGTGGGT